GCTGTCGGGAAAACAAGTGCAACATTCTTGCTTATCCTTATCTCTGGGGGGTGAACTGTCTGTTGTGTCTGTTATCAGTTCAACAGCGGCACGTGTTTGTGGGTATACTTCAGGTCTTAATCTTAGGTTCTTCTCCAGGGTCTATCAGTGGAGCAACACCCTCAGGCGGGAATTATCATGCCGTCCCCTCTGAGCGAAGCATTTGGCTGCACTTGTACCTGCCTCTTTCTGACGCTAGTCTGGCTGCAACTCAGCCTGATCAATGCGTTCCTGGAGCTCCTGCAGTTGGCTGTGCCGCTGCATCTGGTGAGGCAACATGACTTGGAGGATGCAGAGCAGCACATGGCCGCCGAGTGTACACTGGGAGCTATAAGTAAACGAATGATTGCCTTTTGAATGGACTCACAGTGGATGCTGCCATATAAGTACTTGTATATATTTTATTTATATTTAAATAATTCCCATTTAATAATTAATCTAAAGACTGTGCAAATATTGAACGGATAGTGAAGAGCAAACACTTTATGAGTATTGACTTAATAGCATATAAAATGTGAATTTTATGTGATTTAGAAAACAATAAAAGGAGTGTACATTAATTGAATAGAAAAGTAATACATTTTTGTATATTTATAAACATGTACATATGTCTTAACATTATGTACGTATGCTAATTGTATTTATTTCCACAATAAAACGAACATTTTTGGATCACATGCTATATTTTTGTCTCAAAATTTGGTCTTAATTTCATTTATTTATTTTGCATTCCCCAGCTAACCAACAATTTCAATTTCCCATTAAAATTCTCCCACACACACACACACAAGCACACACAAAAGCACACACACAAGGGAAGAGCAGAAATTTTAATTAAAAATTCATTTTGTGGCAGAAGCCGAGCCAAAAGGTGTCATCTACATTTTTGGACAGCTTCTGCCGCTTATCTACTGTTGACATATCTTGTCTTTATGGCCAAGACTTTCTTGTGGCCATAAATTTCATTTGATATTTCTATCAACATGCAATATTGCTGCCAAAAAAAAAAATAAAAGAAACAAGAGGAGAGAAAGGTGGCTCCTTTGCACAGGTTTGTTGCAGTTGAAAGTTTCGAGTTTTTTTTGTTTTTGCCAATTTTGTTCGATTTCTTTTTCTTTGAAACGTTGTTTCGATTTTTTTTCCTTTAACTTTGGTTTCTGTGTAATATTTCATTTGGATGTTGCCTTCGAGGCAAGAGTTTATTCATTTGCATAATTCCCTTGTTTACAATTTGTGTGCCACAGAAAAGAGAGTGAAAAGCGATTGACTTAAATGAAGTTACAACTTGGCAGCAGCAGCAGCAACTAAGTGACTGCAACTGTTGCAAAATAAGAAAATTTATAATATTCAATTTATATGCATTTTTATTCTGTGAGCGAACAACAAGTAGTTCTTGGCCAACAACTGCAACTCGCCTAAGCTGATAATCCCAGATTCCAAGGCGCCAACAGCTGCACCCACTCACTCAGCAGATCACTCCACCTCCTCCACTAGCAATCTTTAAGCAGTTCCTCCTCCTCCTGCTGCTTTTCTTTCGTTGTGATTAATGAGATTTGTCACTGGCTTCATTTGTATTTTCCATGCCGTTGACTTGGCCCTAGGCACCAGAATGCTTCTAGAATGAAGCCAACAACTGACTGACATGCATATAAATTTCATAAATGCTAAGGAGAGAAGCAGAGTGAGCGGGAGGGAGGAGAGCTCCTGCACTTGCACAGCGCCCCCTATCTCCTCCCCTCCTGCAGCCTGCCAGCCCACTCTTTGGGAAATAGCTAAAGACTGCCCAACAGCAGCTGGCGTGGCAAATTTGCATTTTCATTATTTTCAACTCAATTTTCAAAATGAAAATCAACAAAAACAGAAGGAAAGTCGCTTAGCCATGGCTCCTCGCCTTATTATAATACGCATAAAAATAAAGGCCGACGACTCTGAAGACCAACGGCAAGCCCCTCCACTCCCCATAACTAAGTGGCACATTAAATTTACCCGAGCCTATAATTCATTTGTTAAGTCGTGCCTCCAGTTCCCAGTTTCAGTTTCAGTCTCAGTTCCGCTTCCATCGCTGGCCAAGATTATCATGCGTTTGGGGATTGGAATGGGAACCCAAAAGAGCTCACATTTCTGGCATGCCCTTCAAAGCGGGGATGCTACAATAATCTGGAAGAGTTTGTCCTAGTCAGAGAAGAGATGGAACAGAGATTATAGATAAAGACTATTCTGTGCTGAATGCTGAATTAAATTATTGGCCATAAGTTGTACTGGACAAATACCTCCAGAAATTCTAGAAAGTGTATCTAACGCATCACCTCTGGACTCCATTTTTTCCCTTATTGTTTTCATTTGGTTTTGCTTTTTTATTATTATTTTTATTTTTAGTGAATTTGTAGCTGCACTTTTGGCGGAGCCTTCGAGCTCCATTTCGTCTCGTCTCGGGCCTTGGGTGAGTTATGGGTGGCAATAAATTTATATGACATATAAATGTAAATAATTGAGCAGCGCGGAGCCGCCGTCTAGAGTTGTCACAGCCGTGGGTAGGTTGGCCCGTTGCAAGGGGGGTGCCAGTGTTCCTGGGTGCCTTGTTGACTCCGTGATTGATGCCGGACCTCACATCCGGCAAACAGTGCTCATCCTACTGCTGCCTCCAACAAAGCGAAACTCATTCTCATCCTCTCCAGCTTCTATGGGATGGTCACATACACCGCCCCCTTCTGCTCCCATGCTTGGCTCGGCTCCCATAAAATCCCCTTAATGGCCATTTTGGGTCAAACATTTAATTTAAAGTTTTATTGCATTTTATTTGAATTTTTGTATGCCGGTCAGCTCCAGCTCAAACAGTGAGCGGATACTTGGGGAAGGGCGATGTCATGTCTATTTTCAGTTTCTTGATAACATGGTTGATCTGATCCTGGCTCTTCAGAGCGTAGGCCTCGAAGGGCAGCACATTGAAGCGACTGATCCGATTGCCGGAGATGTTCATGAGGAAGTTGTAGTAGCTGGGACGTAGGCTACGCGCTTCCAGGATGGCCGCATGGAAGAGCACGCCCGTGAAGAAGCCATACATGATCATGTTGAAGTGTGGCCATTCCGGCAGCTTGCCCTCGGCAATGCCCCAATTGTACAGCAGCTGCAGGGCCTTCCACATCAGATACATGGCCACCGTGGTGTTGGGGAAGCGGAGCAGCCCAATGGAGCCAATCAAGCCAGCGGGAATGGCAAAGAGAGCGTTGTCATGACCGCAGGTGTGTCGCAGGCCACAGGAAATTGTCTGTGGAGATGGAAATTAGAATAAGAAGCGTCTCTTTCGAGTGTCGAAGTCTACACACCTTGTAGAGCAGTGAGAAGCTACCCAAAGCCAGTCCCAGCTGCAAAGAACCCTTGTTGAAGATCTGTTTGCGCCACTGCATCTTCATCTTAACAATCTTGGTTATGTTGAGCAGTAGCTTCAGGCCAACCTGCAGACCCAGGCCGCCCAGGAATGGCTTTAATCCGCCGTAGAGAGCATACGGAGCACAGCCCTGTCGATGTGGACAACTGGGATGCTTGGCGGTCCTCAGGCGGTCGTACACCTGCACATAGGCGAAAATACTTTGGAAATTCAAAGGCCGCTGTCGGGAGCTTTGTGTGGTGGTGACAGTTGGTGTTTTGAGCGGACCCTCCTCCTCCTTGCCAAGAATCACACGCAGGCCCTTGAAGGTGGCATCCTTGGCCACCGTTTTGTGGAGCCCCACCCGGTAAAGATACATCAAAGCGGTGATGCTCAGGCCCATGATGAGCACTTGTCCATTCGGAAGGGAGCGGACCAAGCCCCTCGACTCGAGCATATTCCAAACGGTCTCAATGCCCACATTGGCCACGTACAGGGCCAGTGGCGTGCGACGCTCCGGCCGCTCTATGGCAATGCATAGCGAGCTGGCCAGAAACGAAGGAAAAAAGGCCACGGTTGAGAAGTAAAAGCGACCCAGGAGCTGTCGGATTAGGCACACGCTAAAGACGAAGAGCCCTCCGTTCATGGAGAGGAAGGCAGTCGACTGGAGAATGCCAGTAAGAGTGCGCCAAAGGTCCTGCAGCCTAGGCACACGCATCCTCATGATCAAAGCGAGCTGCAAAATTGAATAAATATCTTATAAATCTATTAAAATCAAGGTATTTCATTATACACACCAAATAAACCGTGGAATAAGTGCGAAAACTAGGCGCAACCTCAGCGAGCATCATGCCTGCTGCTGCAGCGGCACAACTGGAGGTCCATGGATGCACATACTTGTGGCAGCTGCACTCGATGGCTGCTCCAAGAAGCTTACTTTGTGCTGCCATTTTGGGAGGGGCCTTGAATATTGGATTATGCTTTGGGAATTATGATTATCGTATTGGCCAAGAATTGGGCAGAAGATGATAAAGCTTATCGGCTGTTCAGCTGCTCGACCAAATATCGCTCAAAGTGCAAACATGCCACCCAATTGGAACCTTGAAGCGTCACAAAATCTCAGTTTTCACCAAATATGTGGTACTTGTGGTAAGGCGGAGTAATCCTTAGTGATATCCGTTGATTTGTAGCCAGAGATCAGTTTGGAATTTCCGCCTTAGTTGAAAGTTTTTCACGTTTTGTCCCGTTCAGCCATTCACATAATACTGATTTGAGGTCTGTGTGGACGCACTTTAGTAGCTCCATCGAACTCGTTTATCAACAATTTCTAGCTCTTCTCTTAGCGTACGGCAAGTGCCTGGTGTGCCTGAAGTGCGCCTAATACCAATGCTTATCGACAGAATGAACACACGAAATTGTGGAGGTTCTTGGCTCGCGGTCTTATGGTAGCTACGTCACCGGCTGTGGTTGTTTTCTTATCTATATTTAAGAGAATCCACTCTTAATTATTGAAAGGCAACGAACCTGGTGTTTATTTTTATACCCCGGAATCGGAATTTAGTGGGGTATATGCGCGGAAAGATTAAACACTCATAAATCTTTGTTAAACATATGTTTTTATTGAAAACAGGCACCACAAAAAAACAGTCGCAAATAATTTACAATGCACCCCCCTTACCCACAAGTGATAAAATCGCTTAGCTTAGTGACCCGTGTGGCAAAGAACTGAAACGTTGAACGCACTGTACAGCACTGAGGCACACGCAGAGATGGTTAGAGAGACTCTTAGATATATATACACCTGGCTGAATAATGATACTGAATGTACAAATAGTTTGCTTAAAGGGGGGGTATTTGCTTAAGAAGCAAACGCGAACGCTGGGAGTATTGATTTCTCGACAATTTTTAACGAATTGATAGTGTCCATCGCCTGTTGCTGTGTGCTCAGGCCGAACACATCAAAGGCGCTCAGATTAAAGCGGCTCAGTCTGTGGGTGAGAACGAATAATCAATACAGTAATTTTAATGCTGACAAGGCAATAAATGGAGCGAGCTGTTACGCACCTATCTCCCGATATGGCTTGCAGAAACTTGTAGTAGCTGGGGCGCAGAGTCTTGGGCTCTAGGATGCCCGCATGGAAGAGCACGGCCGTGAAGAAGGAGTAGAGGTAGAGCATAAAATTGGGAATCACTGGAATGATGCCCTTCTCTTGGCCAATCGAACAGAGTATCTAAGGGGGAACACAAAAAAGCGTTGCAACTGGAAGCCCAACAGGGATAACTTATTTTCTTAGCTCACCTGCAGAGCCTTCCACATGACATACAGGGCCACTGTATTGTCTGGATACTTGGTGAAGGCCAGCGAAGCCACCAGACCAGCAGGAATGGCAAATGCGGCCTCATCTCTATTGAAGCTATGACGTAGCAGACAGGAAATAGACTGAAAAGAAAACACCAAAATGACACTCAGCAATCAGAAATCAGAAACGGCAAACACTCACCTTATAGAGAAAAGAGAAGCCGCCCATGAAGATGCCCAAAGGCAGGATGCTGCGGTCAAAGATGTGCTTCTTCCACTGCATTTTGCCACTGGCTATCTTGCTGACATTCATAACCAGCTTCAGGGCCACCTGGAGAACAACGCCACCCACAAAGGGCTTGATGCCGCCGCTGATGGAGTAGGCAACGCAGCTCTGTTTGTGGCGGCAGCTGGAGTGCTTAGCGTTAAGGAGATTGCTGTAGACGCGCACCCAATCGGAGACGGTCGAGAAGCTGACGGTGGGGCGGTGTTGCGGTGGAGCTGGTTGCTCCCCGGGCAATGTCTCCCAATCGTTGAGTATTGGTCCGGCCTCCTCCTTGCCCACGAAATGGCGCAGAATGTTAAAAATCGAATCCTCGGTGTGTCCACGTCGGTATATATATAGCAGCGCCGACATGCTCAGCCCGAAAATGAACGCTTGTCCGTTTGGAATGGAGCGCACCCAGCCGCGGGATTCGGCCATCTTCCAGAGCGCCTCCGTGGCCACATTGGCCACGTACAAAGTGAGCAGCGGACGGCGGGCTGGACGCTCCACCAGAATGGCCGTGAAAGAGGCAAAAAAGCAGGGCACAAAGGCCACTGTGCTGAAGTGATAGCGTCCGAGCATGTTTCGGAGCAAGCAGTTGTACAGAATGAAGGTGTACGCATTGGTCACCAGGAATGCCGTCGACTGTATGATTCCCAAAAGGGTGCGCTTGAGATCAGTCATATTTGGCACACGATGGCGCATCAGCAAGGACAAGGCATAGACCACTGTGTAGACGCGCAGACAGTAGGGCGTGGCCGAGAGCAGTATCCCCGCGGTGGCACTCGCACAATGATCCGTCCATGGATGCTGGAAGTCCTTGCAGCTGATGCAAAGTGGGTCCAGTAGCTTGCTCTGTCCCGCCATAATTCAATCCAATGTTAATCTTTGGGTGTCTGGAAACGAAAAGACCGCAAATTAGTCACTGATAAACCGTATGCGGTGCTGTTCCAAGTCCAAGACTGATTTTTGAACCTTTAATCTTATCTAGAGACTCCTACAGCCGAGTGGTCTGAGGCTTTATTTGGGGTTGCTATCGGAACATGGAAATTAGCTCGAAATAAATGTAGATTTAGCTGGCTCGAGTGTTGACTGCAGCTACTGCTGGCCAAAGCAGAACTGAATCCAGTAGCTGGCGGAATTGGCTTGTTGGATTGCAGTATCTATGGACATTTATTATTGTCTATTGATTAGATAAATTCGCGATTAGCCGGCGGTGCAGTGCCAAGGAACAAAGACCAAAGCAGACACCCTGTATGCGGATTACAGACACGACTGGGGGGCTGTATACTTCGACACAAGTAGCTGCTCCATAACTCAGCTTTTGCAACAGCTAATAAATATGTATAAAAAGTAAGATGATAATGTAATATACATGAGGAACAGAGTCCCAACTGGCTAATACAACTGCGAACTTTGTATGCAAATTATGTGTTTTCTTTCAGAGTGATATGACAATTACCGGTCAAGACCTTTGGCCAATGCGGTGATAAGGTGGCTCAGACTGCTCGCAATTTCAGCAACCTTCCCCGTTTGGTTCAAGTTGTACTCACGTCTCAACTGTTATGCACTTTACTGGGGATAATGGGCAATAATAAAGCAATTGCTAGTTAATCGCAGATTTGTGCGCTCTCTCTTCTGCCGCTCTCCCCTCACAATTGATACGTATTCGTTGCTCTGTTGCTCTAAAATTGAATTAAATTAGTTTTACTGCTGCTGCTGCTGCTGTGGCGGGCGACAACGACGACGACTTTTCGGTTTTTGGCAATTTTGTGTCTGTTGTCAAAATGTTGATTTCATGACGCACTGCGATTGCTCTGTTTAAACTTTAAACTTTCAAGCACCAAGAGGGTCGCAGTTACTGCACTTTGCCTACAAGCAGTCTGTGATTGTTATAGTTTAATGCTTTAATTATAATTCGAGTTCCAGCATCAGTAAGAGTCCACAAAAACAACAACAAGTGGTCGCCGGGGCGCGGTGTCGCGTCTGCTTAGGCGACCAGCAGATGCAGCTGCGCACTAACTAATCTAACTATTGTTTATTGTTACAGTTGCCACAGTTTTCGACTGCCCACATAATGTTTTATCAGAGATTTAATAAAATGTTTTTTATTTCGCGTGTAAACAAAGAAATTATCGTTATCGGTCTGAGCTGGAGACGATATATCGTTTGCAGGGAGAGGTGATACTTTATTCTGCGTTTCGTGCCAATCAGCTTTTGTTTGGCGGAGGTAGAGCGCGCATTTGAATTTTGATTTTGAATTTAAGATTTTACATTAGACATTCCTTTCTCTTTAGATTCGTGAAACAACTTTGGTGAGAATGATTTATTAAAATTAAATTAGCATTAAATATTTGTTTTTTAAAAGTATATGTATTTATAATGCCATCGCTCCACTCATATTCATTAATTGCGTGAAAATTAACAAGCATCAGATATGAAATCCGCTTTTGCCACCATTCTCTGTGGTCCACAGGCAATGTGTGCTTGAAATTTTCATTTGCGAATGGCATTTGGCACTGCTTCTTTGAGGCCACAAATCGTGCCGCAATCAACTCAAAGCACTTTCCCTGCCAAAATGTTTGCAGACATCGAAAGACTCCTCTGCGGGTCTGTTCCTCCTATCAATTGGATTTCGGTTGTAGTTCATAAAGTGTGTCTCTGTCAGGATGAGGATGGGGATGGGAACTCCATTGCCATTTCCATTTTCAGATTCCTCTCCTGCTCCTCCGTTTCATTTGCGCCCTGGCGAAGCTCTTTCGGTGCGGTTGACATGGCACAACGGATATACCAAAATATTTCGTTATTGTTTGTTGGTGCTGCCTCCTGCCTCCTGCCTCATGCCGCAGCCACAGTTTGGGATTCCCCGCTTATGCCATTACCTGTGGCATGGCTTATTTTGTAAAGCCAAAAGCGCTTAAGTAGTTCATTTCGAGCATAACCTCCTAGACGCGGGTGGGTTTTGGGCTTCGTTGCTGTTACCAGCTTCACTTCTGCTGCCACTGCTGGTTGCCCCTTCCCTGCCACGCTTAGATGCTTAACAAAATTGCGGTTGCTTTGTGTGATTCGTTTGGTTTTTCTGGCGCGGCTCAAGCGTGCTCTTGTTTTTGTAGGCTGGAAGTAGGAAGAACGAGAGTGCGAGAGTGCGGAGGGCATATCAAACATACTTGACTCTGTCAGAGCCCGACACTTACTTAATTTACTTGAGGTGTTGCCTGGGGATCTTTGAATAAATCTTTGTTTCTGACATGTCGCCAGGTTGGCGCCGCCTTTGAATGAAGTGTTAATGCCGCTTTATTGTTGGCTGCTAATCGAAAGTTTTCTCAGCCCCTGGCGGCTTTTGATGCAGGGTTCAATTGGCAATTAGCTCGGCACTTGACCAGGTTGCTGCCTAATTGTTGTAATTGCTGAAAGGGCTGAAAGGGGTTTCGGCTTGGACTGGGGGTGTCTGTTAATCCGGTAGTCACTTGGGAATCAATTTGGGCAGCGAGGCATGCGTTTAATATTCGGCAAAGTCCATTGAAGATTCGATTCTACGCAAAATCTATGGCCAGCTCACAGCAGGGGGCTCTGTTCATTGAGTTGCTTGACCACACACATAGGCACACCCACATCCCAGGACAACCAGTGCCCTACATTTTGGATTCCATTCCTTTAGGTTTGAGGGCTCCTAAATCTACAGGCACTGGATTGCTCCACAATCAGAGCAACCCAATGCTGGCCCCCATTTATAGACTTGTCTTAGGGCTCATTTATCCTGCCTACCAGACTCACCCATCCCCAATAGCTAACCAAACTCCTTAATGCGGAGGTCCTGTGTGTGTTCCTGGCTGCCGCCTGCATGTGGCCATTTGTTTAGCCTAGTGTCCTGTGTGTCCTGTATGCTCTGTATGTGTGTGTGTGTGGTTGCGTCCAAATGTGTTCAATTAAGCGGTAATAAATTGTTCATTTGCTCATTGGTCCGCATGGCCATTACAACAACAGCCACAGCAGCAGCAACAGGAGCAGGAGGAGTCCTGGATCTACGGCTGGAAGAGACATTGTCGTCGCTGTAATATTTTATTAGACCCAGCAGCCATGCCCCCATGCCCTCAATGGTGGTATACATTGATGCATATCCTGCCATTAGCAAGCCTTTTGCATAATGTACAATTAATTTTCCACAAAGTTGCCGTTTTATTAATTGCTTTCATTTCACTTCTGTGGCCCTTGTTTTGGGTTTGTTTCTTCGACCACACTTCGATCACAGATTGGTTAGTCCCGAAATTTGTGTGTGCAAAAGCGAAGGGCAAAAGGCTACCAAAATTATCAATACCCAGACATGAGGCAACCGCAAGGCCAAATGGTTTTGCCGCACAAATGATGATGTTGGTGGTGGCATCATCTTCGAAATTGTGGCAGAGACCGCACTCACTTCACATCAAAATAGAACATTTTGTGGCTACTTCTCGTAGCGAACAAGTGCCAACACAGACCTTTTCCTATCACCACTTCCGCTCCACACACACACACCCACACGGACTTGCTTCATGCAACATGTTGCCAGTACATACCATCATTGGATGTGTCAAATGTCACACAGTGCAACCCAAAAGACAATTGCTGCAACCAACCAGTGTGCTTGTCGAGAGGAAGTTGTTACCAAATGTTAAATTAACAATGGGATTATTTCAGCGCCTTGTATTTTTTGTTCTCTCTACGTCCTGGTGTTGCTTGTCTTATGAGTTTTCCTATGAGAATGAAGGCTAGAGGAGTCTTCGTTTTGGTTATTATTTCCTTCTAGGAGCATGGACAGCCTTTCCTTTATCTTGGTGTTTTCATCTGGCTTTGGTTCCCAGCTGTATCTTAGCATTTTCCGTTGTCAAACTTTTTCATGTTTGTCAGCTTTTGAAATTGAAGAATAAGAATAATTTGAGTTTAACTTATTTTCTAAGATTATACTTTGAAAGATTCTATAGGTGAGAAAACAGGCGTCAAAAAAAGCCATTTGAGTACCTTAATCTCATGGATGGATGTGTTAGTCTTCACCTGTACCTCCAACTCTACTTCTTGTGCCTTTATCCCATATGCAAATATTGTCCACTCTCGAAGGAGCACCAACAATCACCACAACGAGAAGGTACAAAATCAATTCCCGCGGTCCCTCGCAAGGTGCAACATCCCCAAAGCAAAGTCAAACTAAATTAGTTTGCTGCTCATAAAACTTTGCCACAAACTTGGCCATGCCCCAAAAAAGCCGAGGCACGAGTAGGAGTATGAGTGTGTGTGTGTGTGGTGCACCCACAAAATAACTTTTGGCAAGGATGAGGCCCCGAAGCAAGGAGCACAAGCCTTACATTCCACTTGAGATTTGAGACTTGAGACATGGAAAGTTTTTCGTGCGGCCATCCGGGCGGCCAGTTAGGTCTCAGAGCTTTAATTGTATTTCCAGGTGAGAGGCACACTGCGGCACAAGTACACGGCCTCCTTCCTTCTGGTCTACGCTTCAATTTCCATGCGTGATAAATGGCAAAAATGGAAAAATCCAAAGATTGCTCTTGGCTTTTCCTGTTTTGCGTTTCGCGCTGTCCACAGTGTCCGCGCTAGAGGCAACATTTCAGGGTTTTTGTCTTTCAATTTAGCCCCCAACCCACCAAAACAAAAAAAAGAGTCCCCTTCTGGCTAGTTGCGGTGGCATTTGCCACACACACCGCTCCCCACAGCCATCACATTTCGTAGCTCTTCTACCTTGCCCCAACGTGTAATCGCTTTGTTTGCATTCGCGTTGCATAGTTTTTGTGGGTGGTGCTCCACGCACATAGCTTGTGATTCAGAGTATCGACATCGGGCCAGATGTCTGTTGTATATACGAGTATTTCTGTACATGGATGTATGTGCCTGTAGCAAACCATATAATTGGTCTGTTTGGTTCTAACGTGTTCTGCGGGAGTAATTCATTCTGTTTCTGTTCTCCGACTCTGGCACTGGCACTGGCTCCAGCTCCAGCTCCGGCGTCGGCTGTGGCGCCAGCTAAGCTGCATTGTTCAAATGTGAAAAGATTTAATTTATTTCAAGTGCGAGCGCACAAAAAAGACTTCACTTTGGATTGGTTTTGGTCTGCGGATACCCGACGGACGGGACGGGTCTGGTCTGGTCTTTTAGCTTGATGCGCTGCCCCTGATTCGTTCTGGAATTGCATTTATTTAAACGTTTCAATTGCTTTTTCGTTGGCTTCAATCTTCGAGTGATTTATTGTGTGTCCCACCAGACAGAACGAAGCATAGATAGGATAGGAAATGGGAAAGGGAATCGTGATTGCGTTTTCGTTTGCGTTTGCTTAGGCATAACAATTATCCGCAGTTAATGTACATAAACTAAATCAATAATTAAATTGTGTACCAAGCCCCGAATTAGTCGCATTACGAAACAATACTGTAAGCTGTCCATATAATTATGTAATTATATGTCAAAACAAATGTCCTACCCCGGAGCCACAGGCTTCAGCTATAAATGTCCTGGCCACGGACCCACATTTGGTTTGTTAAAGGAAAACCCTTGCCTCGTTCTGTTCGGAGAGATGAAGTTTATGAAGTACGCCAACTTCTTCTACAAAGGTGTGGGTATAGAGCCCTATGCCACCCACTCTCGACCGCAGGCCAACAGCCTGTGGGCCAATCTCATCTTTTGGGCAAATGTGCTCAACCTGAGTGCGATTACGTCCGGGGAGATCATCTATTTGGGCGTTTCTCTCGCTGAGGGAAAGCTCCTCGAGGCCGTCACCGTGATGTCCTACATCGGTTTCGTAATCGTGGGCATGAGCAAGATGTTTTTCATCTGGTGGAAGAAGCCTGCCTTGAGCGAAATGGTGCAGGACCTTGAGCACATCTATCCTAAAGGAAAAGCAGCGGAGGAGGAGTACAGACTGGACAGCTATCTGCGCTCCAGCTCCCGTATAAGTGTCACCTATGCGTTGCTCTATTCCGTGCTGATTTGGACCTTTAATCTCTTCAGCATTATGCAGTTTTTGGTCTACGAAAAGTGGCTGCATCTCCGCGTGGTGGGCCTGGCGCTGCCTTATACCGTGTACTATCCATGGAACTGGGAGGCCCCCTGGTCGTATTATTTGCTACTCTTCTGCCAGAACTTTGCGGGCTATACCTCGGCGGCGGGACAGATTTCCACCGATCTCCTGCTATGTGCTGTGGCCACTCAGGTGGTGATGCACTTCGATCATCTGTCAAAGGTGCTGGAAAGCCACAAACTGAGTGGCAAGTGGGTAGAGGACTCACGATTTTTGTGCAACACCGTCCAGTACCACCAGCGAATACTTCGGCTCTCGGAAGTGCTGAATGAAATCTTTGGCATCCCATTGCTGCTCAACTTTATGGTCTCCACATTTGTCATCTGCTTTGTGGGCTTCCAGATGACAGTGGGCGTGCCGCCGGAAATCATGGTAAAGCTCTCCTTGTTCCTGTTCTCGTCGCTCAGTCAGGTTTATCTGATCTGCCATTACGGACAGTTGATTGCCGATTCGGTAGGAACTTCTGAGGTTCATTTTAATCTTCTAAATTACTTGCATTTTATCTTTGCAGAGTTTTAGTCTTTCGAGTGCTGCATACAAACAGAACTGGAACCATGCCGACAGTCGCTATCGTTTGGCCTTGGTCTTTATAATAGCCAGAGCCCAGAAAACCACTCATCTGAAGGCCACTGTCTTCATGAACATCACGAGGGCCACTATGACAGACGTAGGCGCATAATACCTATTCATCACATCATTATCTAAATGCTTTTCTTGTGTGTTTAGCTACTGCAAATATCATACAAGTTCTTTGCCTTGCTGCGCACCATGTATGTGAAATAGAGAGAGAGAGAGGCCAGAGATGACGAAGAGAGATCCCTAAGACCCTAAGCCCAGCGCTCTGAACCTCACTCATGCCATGCTTTTAAAAGCTCAACGGAAAAATAATTATGCGAAGGCATGGGCTATGTACACGCATGTCCATTCTTGATGCTTCAGCAGAAAAAACCTTGCACTTTGGACCTTTTCTTCACTCTATGAATATAGACAGATGGGTAGATGCTGCAACAAAAGAAAACTGCAAAGTTAATTTAACGCTTCACTGCCCCAAAGTTGTGCTCATAAATTTGTAGTGTTCGATCCATTAAAACTGCCATAGGGGCAATAGGTTGTCAACTGTGTACAAGAGTGGATAAAGAATGCAAGGAAGGTAGGGCCAACAGTTGTGATAATCCATTTGAAGTCTAAAAATACAAAAAGCCAACGCATGCAGGTTTCTCCATGAATGATCAACTTAAGCAATTCAGTTTGTTGAATGGAGCCATTTAGCTCTTAAGTGGTTATAAATATAATTGAAATTACAGTAATAGAGCCACAAACATTAGACAGTCTGGTAACTCTGGCAATGCACTTTGCTCATCGATCCTTAAAGCATGCAACCCTGCCATCGATTGGGTATTTCGATGCTTGGCAACCACTAGGAAATTGAATAAATAAAATACAAATAATTTCATTCCATTGTTTTACTATCATACCTTAATTAATCCATTGATATGAGTGATTGTGTGATGGTCGAACTCCGCCGGACTCCGCAATGTGTAGTGTATGCGGGTGTCAGATGTTAATTTTTATTTTCGGGGGAAGATCACATCTCATCATTCTCATGGAAGTGACGGTAGAAATGGCGTATCAAGTGCAGTCCCGTGTACGAGAAAGCCAAGTAGTTTATAAAAATAAGAAAATCAGTCGCACAGTTTTTCACGTGCGTCCAGTAATCCCACAGCTCTGTTGCCCACACAGGAAAAGAAAAAAATATTTGTAAGGAAAAGTAGCGGAAAGCCAACAACTATAAAATCCCCAGTGCATTTATGCATTAAGCTTTCAATTGAAAGAGCATAACTTACCCATCATCACGCTTGCGTTGCAGTTAAATAATTCTATACTCAGTCAACTCAACTTGAACGAAGTTTCAAGGCACATGTGATGGCACATAAAACACATCATTATCATACTAAAGTTATGGGAAAAGTCATAAAGAAAAAACTCTAAACTACAGTCGCATAAAAATATATTTGCTGGTCCCAGATAAATAGTCAAACCAAAATTAGGATGAGTTCAAACTCTGAAGGGATCACATTGAAGAGTATAGTTATATGCAACAGCTGCAACGTTTCAAAAAGCTCAGAAGTGGGCGTGAACTGTCAACCAATGCAACGACATTATAATGAGGTATTTGCAATGGTTCCTGTTATTTTTTGTTGCAGTAATATAACGAGTGATTAATTAATTAATTGATTATCATTGGAAACCCAACTTGAACTTTGGAACTGCTGCAGCTGTTGCAGGAAATGGCAGAATGTACCTGCACTTTCCCACATAATTTCGATATTGATGACCTTGTAAATGTCCAGTTAGTGATACTGCTGCAATTGCATTGCATGACATTTTCTCAGACAGATGGACTATAAAAGAGCCAAGACTGCAAGAAAGGCTGCATTCAGTTCCAGGAGGTACAACTCTACGCAAATTCAGTCCCAGAAATAGAAGAAAGGACAACTCTTTGTTCAAAGATGGATAAGTTCATGAAGTACGCCAATTTCTTCTTTACGAGCTTGGGCTTCGAGGCTTATTCAACGGAGTCCCGACCTCCGACAGACAGTCTGAGGAACAGACTCGTGTTTTGGGGAAGTTTAGCAAACTTGGGGATTGCGGGACTCGGCGAGTTTATCTATTTCTGCTTGACCATTGCCGAGGGAAACCTGCTGGAGGCCGTCACCGTGATGTCCTATATTGGGTTCATAACCGTGGGCCTGACCAAGATATTCTTCATCAAGTGGAAGAAGCCGGCCTTGAGCGCTTTGGTGCAAGAGTTGGAGGATCTGTTTCCACGTGGAAAGGTACAGGAAGCAAAGTTCAAGCTGGAAGAGTATCTGGGCTCCTGCTCTCGCATCAGCTTCAACTATGGTCTCCTCTATTTCATACTGATATGGACCTTCAATCTGTACCCCATCATGGAGCTGATTGTGTTCGAAAAGTGGCTGAAGGTTCGCGAGGTTGGCAAGATGCTGCCCTATCTGTTGTACATTCCGTGGAAGTGGGATGACAATTGGACTTACTACATGCTGCTGGTTGCCCTGAACATTGCTGGCTACACCTCGACATCGGCACAGATTTCTACCGATCTCCTGCTCTGCTCTGTGGCCACTCAATTGGTAATGCACTTTGATTATCTGGCGAGGTCTATGGAGAGCCACAGTCTAAGTGGCGCTTGGCCGGAAGACTCTCGTTTTATTTGTGAAGTGGTGCGCTATCATGAGCGGATTCTGCGTCTAACGGATGGGGTGAATAATATCTTGGGAATACCTCTGCTGCTCAACTTTATGGTATCTTCGTTTGTGATCTGCTTTGTGGGTTTCCAGATGACAGTGGGCGTCTCCCCGGACATGATTACCAAACTATTCCTGTACCTCGTCTCGTCGATGTGTCAGGTGTACATGATTTGCCACTACGGTCAGATGGTGGCCGATGCGGTATGTTTATGATTACTTTTTCCATCAATTTCTCTTAATTTATTCTTTCAGAGCACCGGGCTGTCTGTGGCCGTTTACAACCAGAACTGGAGTCATGCTGACGCTCGCTACCAACGCGCCTTAGTTCTCATCATAGCCCGGGCGCAGAAAACAACCTATCTAAAGGCCACCGTTTTCTTGGACATAACCAGATCCACCATGACCGATGTAGCCACTGACTGAACTCTTGTTTCATATATATTTTGAAATGCGTTTTTCTTGTTTTCTCTTTTCAGCTCCTACAGATATCGTACAAGTTCTTTGCTCTGCTCCGCACCATGTATGTCCAATAGAGGACGGACACCAAATCTCTAAAACCTTCTCTGTGCAGCATGCCCCCTCCCTATGCTTTCAAAAGCTCAACGCGGACTTAATTATGCGTCGGCATGAGCCACACACACTCACACACACATATGACCATCGCTTTGTCGCTTCCACACAGAGGATAAAAAGGAGGCAAAAAAAAAAAGGCTGCACGCTTTTTAGCGGCCGCTGGGTGACGTTGAAAAGGCAATTCTATGAGTGTGCTGCAAAGGAGTGGAAATATCGTATGTGGGCTACAAAAGAAAATTGCAAAGTATATTTTACGCTTCACTGCATCAAAGTTGTGCTTATGAGTTTTCTCTTGGTTATAATGCTCTTTGGAGCAGGGTATGTGCGATCTCTACAAGAGTTTTACAGCCTACAAAAGAAGAAATGGTTAATGTGTGGAATAGTATAGTATTTGAATTGAAATGGATCGTATGAGGAGAGAGAATAAATTTCAAAGAGCTAAAGGTTCTTTATTAAAATAGATTAAAGAAAGATCCACACCAAGATCTGGGAGAACAAACCAGGAAAGATGCCTCAACGCTAAAAGAATGTAATTTCAATGCTTCATAACGCTTAATTTAACTTCCATTGAAGCTTTAGAATTTATTTTAGGGTATTCCAAGTATCGGCTATCTTTATTTAGACTTCAAATCTTGTTGCTGGTACTTTTCTTACAATTTTCAGATTTTCTCTGGGTAAGAAGGAGGGAAGGCAGTGGACAGCAAACCCCTTTGATGGCATCTAATGCAGTTTTTCCATGGCAAAAATGATGTGTGGCGGTATGGCTGGAGAGAACGAGTACTAGTACGAGAACTCCAACTCCTACGCACTCAACAATATTAGCAATTTATGCGCTGAAGCGTGTCCAGGCGGAAGGGAGAGGAAAGAGACCGTGTGTTGCGGGGTGCAAAAGGAAATGGGAGTTTTTCGCCACATAACATTTTCATTTTTGACGAATCTCCTCGACATCACCTGCACGGCCCCACCACCCGCCCGGCTAGTTATTGTTTGCCAGAGCCACGCGCATAAAATATATTAAAAATCTATTTTTTGTCCAATGTCCTGCCAGCATTCGTTGCCCTTACTCATCCTCTCTCCTCTTTCGGCACTGCCTCTGCCAGGTCCTGACATATTTTTTGTGTAGAAGCTTTATTTCCTTATTTATTTGTTATTTTGTTGTGTTTTTGTATGTGTACATAGATATCTATTTTTGTGATTTTTTTGTTAGCTCCTCTTTTTAGAGGGGATTTATTTTTCATTTTTGTGAAATTTTTATAAAGCTCCCAAATGTGCTGCAATTTAATTTCCAGTCACGTTTCGTGTGATTTTCAAATGGGCAACAGTTACAACAAAAAAACAAAAAAACGAGAAGCAGGACAACCAGCCAAGCAACAGAATGTGGCAGGGCGCCTAAAAAAAGATACTTTCAATATCTACCGCTGTCAGATTGCATAATTTAAGGCGCCATAAACATGGAACACGTTTATTAGGACCCAAATCCATGGCAAGAGTCACAGATCATATCAGGTCAAGTCAATTACTGATACTGTCAGAGTTTTGTTCTGTACAATTTAGTGTCTGGCAACTGAAATATATGTGTAATGAAATAATTATATTATTACGAGCATTTTCATACGTTTCTATAGAATATTTAGCTAATTGGAAGCAAGACAGAAACATCTACATGATTTAGAGCTGTGTTGACCCTGTGGGGCTCCGCTTTGTCTGTGCCTGGTTTTGGGGTCAATGCACATTGAATATTAATATTTGTGGTACCCTTTGCCAGTGGGAATACATTATATATCTCTATCTCGCTGCGGAACTACTCAACTCACGCATTCTTCCTATTTTTCCTATTTGTATGCTATTTATTTTCGATGAAAAGACTTTGATGTAATGTGGTGCCCATAATTTCCCCTAATAAAAAACGAAACCCACCAATAACCAAACAAATTGAGTAGAGCCATCTCTTACTAATTTCTCTACCATTCCCATGACGATTTCCACATGATTTCCCTTACATATAATCGACCTTCAGTGCTGCATAATCCTCTCGCTGCCTCGGCTATCAAAATAAACACTCTTTGTCATTTATGAGCAATTATGAATTTACGTACACTTTTGCATGCAAAATGCATTCCAACGAGCAGATCAAAAATTGAAAGCCACAAAAAAATTGCACCCATTGTTTTTTGCTTTTCCCGAAGGCCACACCTCCCCCACACCTCCCCCACCCTCACACCCCCACACTTTCCGCTCTACGCCCAACCGGTTGTTAAATCCACTTATCAAAACGTGCAAATAACTCAACTCTGGGGATAGGGACAAACACACGATGGCAACAGCAGGACAACGGGCAACGGCGAAGGAAATTGAGGCAACTGGCGACCATGATGACCCAGTGGAGCGTGTCCAATGACCAATTGGCAAAAAACTGTTGGCACTGCAACAATAGCGGCAGCAACAAGCAGGAAAAAATGTGGCCCAATCGCTGGACAAACTTGCAGGGATCGAAGTGCATTATTCTTGCCACATTTTGGTGCTGTATGGCGAGAATGGTGGCATGGGCGGCAGGGCTCTGTTTTTTCAATTAGCTGCCATTAAATTGAATTCAAATATTGAAACAATATGTTGCCTCCACCGGCACACAAAACTCTCTCCGCAACCATTACCCCGCTTTTGCAGCATGAGATTTTAGTTTCAGCTTAGCATTCACCCGACCCCTGCTCTCTCGTTTTTCCCCTGTGTTCTCTGATCTGGTGTGATTTATTGATTTTGAGTGCAGTTTTTCTTGTCAAATGTTGACTGCGGCTCATACGCTCGAGTGTCCACAGAATAAATATATTTTTCTCATTTTTTGTATGCCAGTGGCAAAAATCGCACCAAAAATTGTTTCCATTTTCATCTAGTGTTTGGTCAAAGGAATGGAAAATCTCTCTCTTCCACTCCCACACTCGGCACGAATCTATATGTGGGAATCTTTTTCAATGGCCAAAACATACATAGATTTCTATGCGAAACTATAAATGGAGACTAAAAGCCTCTAAATTAGTTTGCTCGCATTATTACCCATACGCACTGTGGTAGTCGTATGCAACAGCCGCTGCGGCAGTGATATTTCTATGGCTTTGCATTAAGCAAATGGTTAGGTTTGGTGTTTTATGAATACTCGTATGGCCACCACCCAAAAATGGGAAAGATATTCCCCGCTCTGATATTTGCTAATGGCCTTCGATAGAGAGAGAGAGAGAGAGAGAGAGAGAGAAAAAGAGAGAGTGACTTCGGAGCTTTCTTTATTGTGTACTGTGCCATTATTCGATTGATGATTGCTGATGATTTAAGCATTGGCTTATTGATTTCTTATGGGCCATTAATAGAGGATTCCATCCACTAATAGCATTCATATTTGAAACGATTTGTCAATGCAGTCGAGCATTAGTCCTGCGGATCCCATAGATGGATAATTGTGACAGTAATGTGAGCGATACAATAGGGAGGGAGCGGAAATCTATCTGTGCGCAAGAAAAAAGTATGCATACACATATGCGTGTGTATGTGTGTGGGGGTATAAGCAGAGCTTAGAGCCTAAGTAGGTTGCTGAGCCTCCACGCAGAGAGAGAGACAGAGAGAGAGAGACGAAGAAGAAGATGCCACAAAGGCGCGCGGCTTGTATGCGGAAAGATAAGCGAGAGGATTTCATTTGCTCATTACTCAACAGCTTACTACAGGGAGGAGGTGCGACAAAAAGAGGGTGTTGGCTGTGGCAGTGGAAGGCACTGGGCGGTACGTTCTCCAGACACAGGCGAAGCAAAGGAAACACTGAAGGCGGCTCATAAGAAATGCATGTGCACATAATTCATTTTTTATGCTGGCTTACAGCAACAACAAGCGATATGGGAGCAGAAATATAGATGTCAAGATCGAATATGCAGATGCCCTAAAAGATTTGTATTCCGGCGTTTGGTTGTGTTATTTTTACTTTTCCATTGATTTTTTTCATGATATATTTATGCAATATATTCGATTAATTATTCTATTCTGAGTGAAGAAATCAGAGAGTGTTTCCGGAAGATATCTTGGCACCACTGTGGAAGATAGGAATACCCACTGGAAGAGTATAATGATGTTGGGACTAAGTATAGTTACATGAGTTACACTCACCGCAACCACCACCCACTCACTTACACAAGTGAAAAACTTGTGAGAAGAAAATTTAGAGACGAGCCAGAAAGAGGCCTTGTCGTCGTCGTGGTGGTGGTGGTGCTGCTGCTGCTACTGCTGCTACTCCTGATACTGCAGCGCTTTTCTTGCAACGGAAACGGAAGCGACATCCAAGTTTATGTTAAAGTTTGATGCGAAACCCCCAAACTCTCTTTCTCTGATGGCACACCTAAGTAGCTGTATGTGTGGATGGTAAAGTTTCACATCGTTTCTCTCTCTTCGTGTTGACTTTTGTGGCTCCTGTAAGTGTTGAGACTTGCGGTGGTGTCCGTTGCATCTATATTTACGTATGTACATGTGAGTTACACGTGCGTGAGTGTGTGTGTGTGTGTTGCAGGTGGTAAGGAAATTAAATCAGCTTCGTGCGCCGTGCACATCATTAGTATGTATAGAGGAAATAGAGAGGGAGAGAGAGAGAGAGAGACCCTGAGGGCCGAGGCTGCGGCTCTGCCTGCTCCTAATGATTATGATTGCCTCTCTTGATGGTGCTTTTGGTTGGGTTTCCTGTCCTGTCCTGCCCATATAAGTATGCCAGAGTTTTCTTATTGCCACTGCAAATTGAGTTTTGCCGTAAAGCGGCAACATTCCTGATTAGTCGTTGAATACCAAATTGACTTGCACAGACAGATATCGACTAGATCCTATACTCCATCTTCTGCTCCAACAGCTGACCAAACAGCAAATGTCAATGGGTGTTCTGCCAACATCTTCATCCTAGACCTCTCTTCTGTCTTCCGTCGTCTTCCGTCTGCTTGTTTGTTTGAGCTCTGGCTCAAAGCGGTGAAAGTGCTCTGGAACTGGAGACAGGAGCGGCAGGCAGGATATTTGCACACTGATGCATTTGTCGCCTAAGCTGCTCCTTATGACATTTATTTTTATTGACTGCACTGTAGGGCAAGCAACGCACAAAGTTCTGCAAATGCTTTTCTTTTCTTTATGCCACAGAGAAAAAATAAAGGAGAGCTCTCTAAACTGTTTGTCTGTCGGCATGTGCTCTCCGTGGTAAGAGGCTTGGCCAGCAAAGCTTGAAAGCGAAGCTCAAACCAATTGCCAGGTTATTGTGCAAAGAATGGAATGGACCCTGAGTTGGTGGCGGAGCTCTGAGTACTGGGAGGGTTTTGACATCATTCTGGTGTCTGGTTGCCCCTGTCAGTTGCCTCTGATATGAGAAATGTTCCGCATTTGTGCAGCAAAATTCATAATTCAGTGGCAACAGCAGCA